GGAAGTAAAATTTTGATCTTCAACTTCGAAAGATTCTTTGTCATCGCTTTCTTTTTCTGTTGTTTCCACAATATGTTTTATTGTTAAAGGTGTTTGATCCTCAATAAACCGTGTTGGTTTTATCATCTAAAAACCAACTGCAGTGTTCAGGCTGAAGTTTTATGTATTCAGGGTCTGTATCATTAAGCCACATGGAATTGACAAAAATAGTTCGTAAAATTTTTTGATTGTATAAAATTTCTTATTTTACGAAAAGCCAATTTCAATGAAGTTTTTAAAAGTTTCAACATTAAAATTAATTACACCGTCGTCCAAGTTATACAAAAAACACTTTTTAGCCATTGTTTATTACAATATAATGTTAATAAATAACTACGATAAGCAGTAGCACGTTTTTTGTTTTTTTTCAATTCTATCGCGCGTATTCATTCACAGCAATATTTTGCTCTTTAAAAACCGACAACCGGAATTCAAGACAGATTTTTGGCAGACAACCTTATATCACCATGTTCACAATGACATCTTTATTTTGTCATAAGTTTTGTTTATTAAACAGACGAGTGAAAATTATTAGTATCAACTTACCTATTTATACCTGCCTTGCCTACCCAATGATTATGACTGGAAAAAAATAGTCAACCTAACGTTTGCATATTCTATAAGCTTCATACGTTCGATTGGTATGTTATTTGTCTATTAAATAATCAAGTGCAATGTTTAAGGAGGTCCTTTCGCCACCAATGTTAAATAAAAAATATTAGATTATGACTAAAATTAATTTTTTTCTAATAGTAGATGTCCTTATTTATCTAATAGTGAACTTTTAACTATACCTTACCGTGCAAATTTTTGAGAAAATTTTTTTTTAAAAATGTGTGTGTTTGTACAGTGTCTTATGAGAAAGTAAGACTTCAACAACAATTTTCGAATTATAATTAATTTTACTATTATTTATTGATTAGATGGAGTAGAAAAAAAAACTAAAAATAAGGTTTTTGAAATATTTAAGTTTTGTTCTTTACAATAAAATATATAGGTTACCGTGGAATTTATTGAGAAATTATTATTAAAAAATCACAAAAAATTTTCAACTAGGTTACTTGAAATTTTTTTGTGATTTTTTAATATTAATTTCTCAATAAGTTCCACGGTTTACTATATATATTTTATTGTATAAAACAAAATCTAAATATTTGAAAAACCTTATTTTTAGTTTTTTTCTACTCCATCTAATCAATAAATAATAGTATAATTCGAGAATTGTTGTTGAGGACTTACTTTCTCGTGAGGCACTGTACAAATACTCACATTAAAAAAAAAAATTCTCAAAAATTTGCAAGGTAAGGTATAGTTAAAAGTTCAGTATTAGATAAATAAGGACTTCAACTATTAGAAAAAAAATAATTTTAGTCATAATCTAATAACTTTTTTTTTAACATTTGAGGCGAGAGGTGTGGCGAAAAGACCTCCTTAAAAAAAAACATTTTTAAATTTTTAATTAATCATATCCTGGACTAAAATTTTTCAGTCAACCTATTCGCAATATATTACTTAACATATTAAATTTGATATAAAATACTTTTCATCCATTAAACAGACAGGTGAAGGTCGTTTCTCTACTCGGATCTTAGACTATACGTTTTGATCTTAGTGGATTACCATTCGGAACAGACTTTACCACTATACATCAACATTGTGGGAAATTAAAAAGCTGATAAATTTGAGTGAATAAATCACCGATTGATCTTCCGAAAAGATGGAAGCATGGTCTAATAACCTGGGACAAGCACCAAGCTCCTTTTTAAGGGGTACTGTGTAAATAAAGTTCACACTTACGTGAAATACTGGTCTTTTGACACAACAGTATATTAGGGATGCCCCTATAGAATCGGTGCTAGTGTATAGCATTTGTATATTAACTAAATTTAGAAAAATTCATTTAAGTGGAACTGTATGTAAGCATGCAGTCCGGTCGGCCTACAATCGCAGATATACGGAACTTATTTTTAGAACCGGTGTGGTTAGTAACAACGACTTTGATTTTGTTTCCAAATTTACAAATAAAAACTGCATTAGGAGACCAAATAGACCTGCTTCTAGCGATCATAAAATTATCTCCTTACTTTAGCCAATATATTGCGGCTAATTTGAACTAGTTATACGATATAATGTTGAGAGTGATGGTGAGGGTCTATTGAGAAATGTCTTCTCAGACAAGCTGCATATTAATCGAATGGTGTTGCTTTGAAAATGCCATTTCACATTCTGTACTTCCTCAGCAATCCGATAAACATTCATTTATAATTAAAACGAATTACTTTTCGCCAGTGACCCAATCACAAAATTTGAAAGTGACAGTTGCGAACAAGCTTAAGGCTTGGCCAACGCCCTCAGTTTTAAATGGTTTTAAAAAATATACCAAAAGTTTAATATTATGCTCATAGAATTCTATCTCGATGGCTCATATATTACGCTAGTATATCTATTTCGGTAAATTAAATCGAATACAGTGTTCCAAGTAAAAAATCTTAATGATTATGCGTATCCTTAAAATACTAATAATTTGGCCGATTGTATCGACAATCTGTGAAATTGAATTTCTAAAGAATTTTGGTATTTCGTTGGTATTATTGTCAAGTCTAATTAATTATAAGGTACCTATATTAAATAACAGAAATATTTAAAAGTATAAATATATCTAAAATATACACAATGTATATTGTTATACGTTAGAAGATCAGTGAAATTCTACAAACATCAAATAATAAAATTACATATTATAAAATAAATTGTTGTTTTTTTTTTATAATGAATTACGTATAACTTGTTATACTCAGCTTCCTACTAAGGACATATTCTTATTTGAACCGGCAACATTGCTATATACAGCTTGATCAAAGGTCAACTGGAAGAAGATAGATTTCGGTTCGAAAACATTGCTATGCAATTTGAAACAGATACAACATAGCAGTGTTGACCTTAGACTGGAAATTTCCCGTTTAGACTGAAATTTAGGATGTATAATGTATACACTATTTTTCAAGAATTTTGTTTTTCTCTTTTCACCCTTATTGGTTCACACAATGAAGTGTGGCTGACAACTTTGCGAATGAATTATGTTAATATTGTTCTTTTCTTTTTTAATATTTTATTCTATTTACTAGATTACTTAGTGATGGCAGTTAATAAAAAATAATGAACCTAAATATAAGTTTTTATTGTAGCCATTTGCCATCTGCTAATAAAGATATTTTTAATTGTCCCTTATATTATATTAGCATTTATTTAAATTTCTATTAACTAGACCGTTTTTCCGGAAGCGAGAATTTTCAATTCGGCACAACTGTAAATAGTAAATCACGAAATAAATAAAAAAGAGTAGGGGATGGTTAACGATGGGCTAACGACACCCAAAAGGTACCTAAAGGGTTTGTTATTCAGCCAGCCTAATTTTATTTTTCTTTCTGCTAGTGAATGTTGTGAAATTTGATTATTTATTTTGTGTTATAATCTAAAGTATTGGGATTTTTAGATCTAAAGTTCTTGCTAATTCAATTTTAAAAATATAAACTAATTATTAATACTTTTTTGATTCAACATTTTTCGATATTTTGATAAATAACCTATAACTTAATGTACATTGTTTTGATAAGATGGGATAAGATGTCAAATTTGACAGGTATATGCGATCGACGACAGAAAAAAATGTTCAACGTCATTTTTATTATCTTCAAACCACAAACTTTATATGAATCTAAATTTGCATACTAAATAATAATAATAATAATAATAATAATAAACTAAATAAAAAAAAAAACATTCCATATGAAGAGAACTTTAACGATGACACTGCATATTACAAAATTTATAGAGAATGACATTGAAGACAACTCCATTTAAAAATTTTTATTCTCTAATCATAAATAACAGGTATATACCTTAATAAAGTAGAAAAACGGTCCCGTTTAAATGATCCCTCCCCAATAATAAATGCTCTGACACTGCTCAAAATCTAATCAGCGTACCACAGTTTAAAATTTAGTTTATTCACTTAGTCCGTTTTTGAGTTATCATGGACACACACACATATCATCACAAAAATGCTCAAAACGGATTCAAAGACCCCAAAACGTAAAAATCTATGGAAAACTCGAGATCTAAAAAAAATCATGGTTTCTATACATTCTTTACTGGTTATAGAAAATAAAAACTGATTTAATAATTCATTAATTATTATTGCTTTTTTAAAAGGGTTGATTTACCTAAATAGCAAAGCATTAATTTCACTTTAATGGTTAAAACCACATGAAAGCTTACTCCTTTTTACATGTGGCTTATTTATTCATTAGCTGTAAATTATTTAAGGACGAGACCTCATTTTTAAATTTTATTTGGGGCGTTTGCCCATTGTATACCTATCTAAAGAAGAGACCACTAAAATTCACTAAACTCTGGTGCCGATACCGTTGAACTAAAATATTACTAAAATCTAGTTACATTTATTAAATCAGATTATTTTAATGCATATCCATTGGCATCAATATTTGTACAGAATATATTACAAACATGTTACAAGTCATAATATAGTTAAATTTAAAAATTAATTAAGATCATTTAAATTAGGCTGCAATAATCAGTGTGATAAATTTATTGTATTTTCAATAATTAATTTGACTACTTTTTCGGTTTATTTTCGGAATATAAATTATTTCACCACTCAGCTGATACTTTCAAATATTCTCAACTAATTTGAGAGCCCACAAAATCATTTACGTTTTAAACAAATTAGATCGGCCAAGGTCGATGTTTTTACATGCATTTTGTTCGCACCAATTTTCACGTAAACCCAAGCCCATCGCGTTTACCGTGTTCTTATTATGGTGGATAAATATGTACAAATTTTTGATTGTATAAACTATATGAACTGGTTTGTATGAACTTGGATTGAAATTGGAAATTTCTCACACAATGAGTAATTCAGACAAATAAAATATACTGACTGTGTTATTTTGAGATTTAGGTGCTGGTGCTATGTGGGCTATGCGTTGGCGCTTGTACGATAAGCCATCGGGACCCTCATGGAAACCTGGTCGTTTATTGGCTGTGGATGTAGTGGAAATGAGGGGCGGCGATCCAGGAAGGGTACTAGTAGGCGACTGACCACTACCCGAGCTGCCACCATCGCTACCGCCACCCGGAGGAGTCAGAGTCTGCGGTTTTCGATTGGAAATTGGAGAACTGAAAAACAAAAACAAAATTAAAGGACGCAAATCTTCAATACATTGTAAGTAGATGGCGAGAACTGTACCGGTAGCGCGATTTATAATTTGATATTTTAAGTGCACTTGTTTCTATATCATTTTATCAAATCCATAGATGCTGATATATTTTAGAAGGATAATATAAAATTGCACTGCAGCATGAAAAATTAATCTGCTAAAAATTGTACCTAGGTGGTAGGTTAAATGTGACAAAAATAAAAATACTCATCAAATTTTATTTCAAAATAATGTTTCAATATGTATTCATAGTACTGCTAAATTTGTATTTGCAATTTATATTTTACGGACATAATAAAAACAAATTAATACTAAAGAACCGAGTCAATTGAACTAGTCAAGTCTCTGCTATATCACTACGAAACTTTCGGAATGCCCATGGACTGGGGTAAAATTTTGTTTACGGTTATATAATTTATTACTTAATGATGTTACCAAAACTGGGGAAACTACTAAATCGATTATATTATCATTAGAGCAGCAATTAAATAATGCGCGTTCAATAACCCTACAATGCATAGTAAATTTGAATACTGAATTTCGTCACCACACTAAAAAAAGAGATCTAATTTAACTTGGGATCGTGCGTCGTTTCTTAAGGTTTAATAACGATATATTCTGGATAGTAGTACTGCAAGCTGAATTGTTGTCTTCCGGTGTCCCACAGGGCTCTCACTTAGGACCTTGTGTCTAAAATTCATCAATTATAAATGTTAAAAGTTTCTATTTTTTGCCGACGACCTAAAACTTTATTTGCCTAATCGTAATGTAATCGATTGTCTTTTTCTCCAAATTGGGTGTCCAAGCACAAGTGTTCCGTTCCGTAGTTGTTTTAAAATAAAGAGAGTTGATAGATTTAGGCCAGGTGCTGATACAAAATATTAGTACAGAATGCAATATTGATAATTTTCGTTCAATCTACACCTTATTCTTAACGTTTGTGATATTTTACGATTTTTATAAACGTTACTTTTAAGCGTTTTAAATAAAAAGTAACGCAAAAGAAAGTAATATACATTTTTGAAGAGCTTTCATTTGATTTTCTACATGATGGAATCAGAAATTTTTTTCTAACTTTCAATTTAAACCCCTCAAAATAAGAAAATTTACTTTTTTTACGATCACTATGCAAAGTATGCTTCAGCACATTCAAATTTAATTGGAAAGTTGAAGTTTTTCGCGATTTGTCATAATTTGATATTATTGGCGCTCCAGTACGCCGAAGTTACTTTGGAGCTTGAAGTAAATAAAAGAAAGGTAATCATTATTAAAGCTAATCGATTTTTTAAAACAAAATGTGGACTAATCTGAATATTTTAATTGAAAATTTAATATTCATTTCTCTTAGTATTTAAAGGATAATTGAAATATTAAAAATAGATTACATCGTTTTCAGTAGGCAACACAACATACATATACACGCTTTGCTAGCGGTACTGGTCAAATAAGCATTGAAGTAAAATTTCAATTTGGAAATATCGTGTAAAATTTTGTGTGTAATTCAAGTGGAAAGCTATTTGCCGCTTACGAGCAAGCGGCACTTTGCGCTCTTAATACACAAATGGCTATTTACAGTATTTGGGTCACTATTTACTGCAACCGTTTCAAATTTCAATTGTGTACGTCAAATAGACTTTGAGTAAAACGCCCGTTACAGACGGACAGACACCGATGTGATTCCATAAGAAGTGTTCAAAAAGTTGTCAAACCGCCGAAATCTCGGAAGATTAAGATCGTCTATTTCCTACACCGTCTTTCTCATTAAACTAACAGTGGCCAAAAATAATGATGAGAAGGAAACGAATGCGGAGGTAAGAATCCAAACAATGCAGACAATGCGTCACAAACTTTACAACTCTCTAAAAATTGAATAAAATAAATTTCACGCGCTATTAATTTTCTATAAAAATAGAGCAAGTCTGACATAATTGCAATAGTTATCATGGTTTTGTGAATTTTTTTATGACCCGTGTAATACTTTTTAATAAGCAATTAAAATACATTACTAAAACCCAGTCGGGTATATGATATCATTAATTATTACTGTTTTACAAATATTTGATTAATAGTAATTAAGATACATAAAAAAGTTAAAATGTGATTTTTTATAAACGGACAGAAATTTATAACAGTACTGTTCATACATTGATAATTATTTTACTCTGAAATGGCATTTTTAGTAAACATTTCTAATTTATCTTGTTTAATGCAGCATATTCAATTATACGTAATTAATATTCACGAAACATTTACTCTTTATATTGAAAAATATATACCTGGATTTTTTTAAATAGTTTTATTTAAGAAAATTAATATTTATGAACAAATAAAGTGAAATAGGAAAAACTCTGGAAGTAAATTTTTTCAAGAACTAAGCAACAAAGTAATCCCTATAAAAATGGTTTTCAAAAGTCAGTGGCGTACCATAAAATTTTCCCCGAAAGTGTAACTGTTGCTTTTTATCGACGCTTCTCCATTATCACTGACCAAGGCACTGCCAAATTGGTAAAAAAAGCATTTAGTGATATTCTTGTCTTTGGCTTAGTACTATAATAGACATAATTTAGTTTTGGAGCAGTCTATATACCATTTAATTCATAGGTGGTTATTTCTTCCATGAATCTCTGTCTGGATTACTACTACAAACTATTTTTTAACACATTGAGTGCCAAGATGTCATCAGAGAATTAACGCTGGGGACCAAACTGTTATTTTACTTGATTTTATGTATTTTGTACAGAAGTAAACTATGCTTAGCCTTTTTCTGTTTTTCTCCTTTTTTTTTTTTGTTATTAGTATTGATTTTTTTTATGTCTTTCATGGAAAGACGTGATTCTACAGGGAGGAGGCCAAAGTGGTTTTTTTTACTTGATTTGCATGTATTTTGTGCTGAGACAAACTATGTATAGCCTTTTTTTGTGTTTTACTCCTTTTTTTTACTTTCCTATCTGTATACAGATATAAGGAAAGTATAGGAATTATGATTTTTTTTTTGACCTCCAGTTTTCGACGGATTTTTACGTTTTGGGGTCCCCTGAATCCGTTTTAACTATTTTCGGGATGATGTCTGTGTATGTGTGTCTGTATCCACCATAACTCATGAACCGATACAAAGAAAAACACCAAATTTTAAACTGAAGCTTTATTCCGGCCTGCGGTGACATGATAAGATTAGAGTCGGAACATCTGGGGGGTAATTTAGAGGTGGTCATTTTTATATTTTATGGAACATATGTTATTTACGTTTGGAGAAGAAAATTCTTCAAATAAAAGTTACAATAATATTATCAATATTTTTTGTTCTATACAAAATTTTCCTAAAATGGTCCGTATTCGAGAAATTTGACAAAATGTGAAAAAATATTTTTATATAAAAATTGTTCAAATAAAAGTTGTTATATAATATAATTCTCTACAATTTTTCTCCTATACATAATTTCTCTAAAATGGACCGTATTCGAGATATTTGAGAAAATGTGTAAATTTCGAATTTTGAAGAAAACTCAAAAACGGATAAAGGAAAAAACATTAAATTTTAAATTTAAGTTTTATTTCGGCCTGACGTGAAATGATTAGATTTTGGACCAAGTCGGAACATCTGGGGGGGGGGGGGTACTTTATAGGGGGCCGTTTTTATATTTTATGGAATATATTTGTTATTTATGTTTGGAGAAGAAAATTGTTCAAATAATAAAGTTACTTCTAATATTATTATCTATAATTTTTGCTTTATGTCAAATTTTCTTGAAATGGTCCGTATTCGAGAAATTTGACAAAATGTGCAAAATTCTGATTTTTAAGAAAATTGTTAAACTAAAAGTTGTTTGCGATATCGATCTCTATAATTTTTGTATTTACATGATTTTTCTAAAATTGACCGTGATGGACAAATTACAGGAAAAGTGCTAAATTTAAATTTTTCAGTATTTTCGTTTTCAATGAATATCTATAGAAAAATTTTTAGAGTTAAATGTATGTGGAAAATGTATATATTTAGTTTATCCTCTAAACATTTATAGAAGTGCTGCAATAGGTAATACCAAGTTAGACGAAACACTCTAAATAACGAAATCCTACAATAGATCTGAAAAGGTCACGGTGGATAAGGAAAAATGAGGTCTAACACCTTTCAAATCAACTATCTATCTACTTTAGGCGTACATTTTAATACCTAAAATAGTTCAAAAAATAGATATTTTGTTTGGCACTCAAATTACATCATGACTAATACAGCTTAATGCCTAATTTAATTTTAAATTGTTGTTTAAAGTATATGTTTAGAGATATGTTTACTACCATGTTTATTTTTAAAAAGATTAGCTGTCTTTATTTATTACAAGATTATTTCAACATTTTTATTTAATAATTTTTTATCAAACAGTATTTTTTTGGTTTAAAGTTTATTCTATTTAAATGTTCTTGTTAATTTTAAGTTTTTTTATATTTTTTTTATAGTGCCAAATGGTTTTTTAAATCAGACACTGAATTTAACTTAAAACTGACGTTGGAAAAATTGTGAGAATTTTAAACTTTGTGTGGGGAAAATAGATTTTTTTTAACCTATCCATGGGAATTTATAAAATTGATTGGCAATAATTGACTCATTTAGTATTCACTCCAATGCAGGAGCAGGACAGATAAGGTTTAATCTTGCCAGCACTGTATAAGGGTTGAATGCTAAATGGTAGTTGGCATGTAAGCACGATTAATTATAATTTTAGGAAAAGACGAGAACAAGTTAGATTACCGAAAGGAAGTAGTGACCTTATAAAGATAAGTATATGAATCCATTAAAGTGCCAAATCAGCTTTGATTAATGTTCGTTATACAATATCTTTGATGGTATTTCTTTTTCTTTTATAATTTTTAAATCTGAAATAAATTTCGATAACTGATTCCTCGTAGCCCAATGTCAACCTAGAAAAAGATAGGAGGAGGTGAGAAAGAAAGCATAATTTCCTAGATCTAGGTAGTTGATTGTTGGTGACCACAGATAATCCTAAGCATAGTAGGCTTTTATGGTAATATTTGCGGTAGAAGAGGAATATTTTTGTGAATTATAGTAAATAAGAGTTAAAGTTCAAGATCAATATTTATACTTTGGAATGTAAACAATAATACAAGTCAATTAAATATATAATTTATTTAAATATCTCTTAGAGTCATTTTAAACTGTAATTATTTATTTTTAAGTTTATTTTGATTTTCAAAATCTTTTGCACAAAATCAATTTGTTTGTAACGGGTTTTTTTTATACGTGGAATGTACTTACTTGGGAGGACGCCTGGGTAACTCGGGAACAGAGAGCTTCTTAGCAAGGTTGAGTTGCGGCCTGGAGCTACTAACATGATTGCTACCTAGGCCGTTGGACAAGTGACCGTTGGTCGACGAATGGACGATGGCTGAGGGCGGAGGCGGCGCCGAAGGGGGCGGTATGGAGGGCTTCGGCTGGTGCTGGTACGGCTGAGATGGCTGCTTCATGAGACTTTCGCGCATCGATAGCATTTCTCTGCGCACGGGATGGAGCGGCGCCCTGTTCTGCTTCACCTTCACTTTGCGACCGATATCCGTCTGATTGGGTTTGATTTCTCTTGTGCTGAAATATCCATACATCATTATATTAATACCAGTTTTAATTTTTTATGCATTCAAAAGATTCAATCTAATAGATCCCAATTAATTCTGCAATAATTTAGATTATACATTTCTAGTCTGTCGAAAACAACATCTGAAGGATGTTATGTTTAAACATAAAAGCATGATATAATATGGTAACTGAAATGCAGTTTACAATATTAGTCTTTTACAATTTAATTCTTATTAATAATTAAATTAATACTTTTTTTTTATAATTTGTATATTATTTTTAGAGGTCGATAGCACAGTGGATACAATACATGACAATTCAAAAGTAGTAGGATCGATTCCCATACCAGAGACAGAACATCAAGTCGGGTGAAGATAATCTGTAGCAACATTCTTTGGTAATAATAAGCCAAATACCAGCTACTTAATACTGTTTCCTAAGGTATAGCTGTATTGTAAAAGGAAGTTTACTTATATGAGGTATGTTTTTCTTGCAAATGGTAGGTTAGTTCTATTACAATGGGTCATGTTTTGAGAAAATAAATAAAACCAATCAGTTAAAAAGGAAAGGATAAAAGGATAGTACGAGATTACACAGAATTGTGTTAAGCTGGCATTGAAATAGACCTTGCTTAAAATACCATACTGCATTGATTTTGTTAAACATAAAGGAGCATCTCAACATCAATCATCATCAGAAAATGAACGGACTAACAGCAACACATTTGCAGTTATTGTGGTAGTCAAAGTAAAGGAATGTTTAAGAAAGTCAATCATGCAGAATTGGGATTAAACTGAGTTTAACTATGATTTGTGGTTGTTTAAAAGCAAGAATACCTACTTGTTATTAAGGTATGTACATAATCCGTTCCATATTATAGTTGTGAACAAATGATGAACATACCCACATTGATAGGGAAAGCATGGTAGTTTTTGTAGACTGAACAATTTGTTAAATACTAGTTTTATCGAAAAAAGATACAGTGTATAGTTGATAGGTAGTGATTGGCGAGCTTAGGGCAATAATGATGTCCTAGAAAAAACAAAATATTATATGTACATTTTCTTCGCATACATGCACATGAATATACAGAAGTGAGGGTAATCTACTGCTGGAATATTTTACACAATACATATAATAATTGTTAATTTTTGTTCGAGTTTGAGGACAGGAGGAGTATAATGTGAATTGTGAAAAGTTAAAAAGAGAGACCAACAGAAAATAGAGATATAAATTACGAAATGGTCAGTCGGCACCCTCTATCTACCTTCTTCCTATAGTTTCTACTCCACCCAATTGTATGCGGCATTTTTACTTTCTTTCATAATCTATCTCACACTAATTAAACTGGTTTAATAACCGACTTCAAAAAAGGAGATTCTCAATTCGTCGAAACATTCTTTGTTTTTTTTATGTATGTTCAGCGATTATTCTTTACTACGTTGTCCGATTTCTATGATTCTTTTTTTGTTAGAAAGAAGCACCTCAGGAGTGGTTCCATATTAATTTGGTCAAGATCTAATAATGGGGTCCATAAGAAAATCAAACTCTTCATTTTTTAAGTATTTTCAGCAATAATTATTTACCATGTTGTCCGATTTCCATGATTCTTTTTTGTTAAAAAGGGGATACCTCAGGGGTAGTTCCATAAACAATTGGTCAAGATCTGATAATCTTTGAGAAAATAGAAATTTCAATTTTTAAGAGCATCTGCACGATTTTGTAGTCGGTTTTTTAAAATTACTTTTATAACTTGTAGTAATTATACAGTCCAAAATTGTTAATGTAAAAAAATATTAGTTGAGAATAGTGGGAAAGAGGCGAACTTTCATAAGTTACAAACATATTTAACACTCTCTAGTATTAAACTGATAACACTCAAGTCTTTTTTTTTCTTTTGTAAAACTTACCATTTATTCTTATATTTATCTTCAGCTTCAGTCATTCGATTACGGGTAACTTCATAGACGTCGTCATTGGCATGGATACGTATTTTGTATGGGATGGAGCCGAGGCCTTCTAAAGGGCCCCGTGGAGATCCTACCTGTTTGATGCATTCGAAACTTCCCCCCTGGCCCTCCATATCGGCCGTACTCGACATGGAGAAACTGAAGGAAGTGCTGCCCAAGCTGTGGTGCTGCGACGGAAATGACAGTTCCTGTAACACACAATAATGCATTGTTATAAATCCAGGTTAACGTACAATTAAAAAGTAATAAAATGGTCCATTCGAATTAGTTTTATTTATTTAAATATTATTCTTGGTTCATCAGAGAATTGGATTCTCCTCCAGTCATCGATGGTCCAGTTTTCATGTGCCTTTATTTTTATATTTCTTGAAACGGCAGAGAATTGCCCAAACTAATGAAAGGTTTGATAATTTTGAACAGAAAAATACGATTTGGCATATTATGCGTTTTATGGATTAGCGTCAATATAATAATCAGTTTCATCTCAGAAACAGTTTAATGACATACTTCGAGGAATTATCGACCACATTTAAATCTTCAATGTGGTCAAATTACTCAATATTAAGTATTATTATCATCATCATCATCCGTATTTGTAAGTATATTGTATATCTAAAATATGCAGGTTTAAATCTGAATAAATTAACCAATTTTTAAATGTAAGTAAAAATGTATCATTTAGATAATTACAAATATAAAAACTACCAATATGAACGTATATGTGTTACAATGAAAGCTATAGTTTACAAGTTGCTTCAATTTTAGGCGTAAGAAGAAATATACTAAATAAATTAAAAATGAGCAACAGAAAAGATCTGAGCTCCACATTTGTTATTTAAAAAAAAAATAATAATTTGTATAGTTCTAATCGCCTAATTCACGTATCTCTAAGTTACACAGGGGTACACTTGAACGAATCTCTAATAGAGTTAAGCGATACTTCACAGAGCAGAGGGATGCCTGAAAGCGTAAAAAACTGCCCATAATAGCAAACGTGGCCTATTTATAAACACATGTGGGGTTTTTCGCATTCACCAAAACTTGCTACGCAAATTCTAAGTATCCTTTACCATTTCTTACTATGGCCAAAGTATGTAAGTGTATTCAACAAAAAATGCAATTTGGAGATCATTCATTGAGGTCTAGAACTTTCTGGAGTGGCGTATCTACCAAATTTTAGAAGTTAACGGTTCACGACCATTGACGATGTCTGCCATGGGTGGATCATTAGGGGGTTTCAGAGGTTATTCTATTGAATATTCTTTTTAATCGGAAAAGGGGAGGGCATAAGATGCAGAAAATGGCTCACACGACAGTATTACAGAGATTTGTGAGGTTCACCAATGAAATTTTTTTTAGAATAGGGAAAAATAAAAAGCGACGCAGCAACGGTGCATTTTTAGTGGGCTGTTTGCGAATAAGAAGAACTTTGACAGTGTCGGGATTACTATACAGAGTGAGCGATTTTGATTTTCATAAAAAAAAATTAATACATTTTTTCCGACTTATAGATGTTTAAAACCGATTTTAGAATACATAACTCATTTATTAACCCCTACGCATCACCTGCCTACACAAAAAATACAACCCCTTTTTGTCACATCATTGGAGAGCTAGTTAAAATGCTTTTCAACGATAAAAATTATACCCTATATAGGGTAGTTTAATAGTACACATATTTAAAAATCTATTTAAAAAGAATATAGCAGAATTACAATATAAATTATTTTTATTAGGTTTTACTTTTTTGCTTTAAGGCGCGTTTTTATGAATAATTGGATCTTTTAATTATCAATTCATTACACTTAAGTTGCTTACAAGTTATTCCCTTAGGGCAACTGGCTGTATGTGTAAATCCTGTCAGTCCTTAAATACAATTTTGCATTATTTAAGTGTGTTTCTGAATATTTTGCAATAATGGTTTACAATCAAGCTGAGCGTGTAGAAATTATATTCATATTAGCTTTCGAGAATCATTGTTTTTTGAGAACATATGCAGTTTTTAATCAAAGACGTCATGTTTATGTTCTAGATTTAGTTGCTAAATTTGAAGAAACCGTTTCAGTTGCAAATAACAAACGAAATGAATCCGACTTCATCAACTCAGCAAGTATCTGTGGCAACAGGATAATCACGGGAATCGGTTCGGAAGGTATTGGAAATTCATAAAGTTCATCGATATAAAACGCAAATTGTGTAAGAACTTAGTTATGATGATCTAGATAGGCGGATTGCATTTTGTAAAAGAATGAATTAACAAAATAACCACAATTGATAAAGAATATCGTTTCAGTGATAAATGTTCTTTTTATTTAATTGGAAATGTGAACAAACAAAATTTCCGTTACTGGAGTGATGTGAACGAACCCATTTATTATCTGTTCGGAGAAAGACATATACAGTAACTTAAAAAAATGTCTGGACGAAGATACTACACTCACCGGCAGAATTAACCGCCCACCCAATGTTTTGTTATTTAGTTGGAGATTTTTGTAATTTTGATTTTTTTTTACTTTTTAATGTCTAAGTACATCTTGAAAAAGCAAACAAATACCAATCAAATGAAAGTTTTTGTTTAATTTTAGAAAATAAAAGAAAAACATTTTTGAAAATTTTGAACTTTTTGAATAAGATGAGCAATATATGAAATTTATCGACAAAAAAGTATTGGATGAGCGGTTAATTCTGCCGGTGAGTGTATTATTAGTCCTTTATTTTTATTTGGAAATTTACGGGAACAATTATTTATCTCGACATATTGGAAAACACTATTGAACCTTCTACACGAATTATAAAACCAGTGACAAATAGCTGAAACCAGGTTTTAGATGAAAATTTGTTACATTTCCAGCAAAACGGAACACCTCCTCCCAATATTGCTGAAGCATTGGTTAGAGATTATTTACATTTAGCCATCCTGTTTGAATAAAAGCATGAGAGATATGATCAAACTTTCTAAGATCATTGACGAATCTACAGCATGTGTTTTGCATAATTTGTAACCGATGACGATTTATTGCAGTTGAAAACGGGTAGTAAATAATGTTACCGTAAGTTTAGATATAACTAAGCTTTGACAAAGTTCCTTTTGACGATTTATCTCGAAGAATGAATCTATTAGAGTAAAGTAATTTTAATGCACGATAGCATTTTTGTCGTACTGAATTGACATGTTTATCAAATTTTAGGGATTCATCGAAGTAAAGGCCTAGGTTTTTTGCTTCGGTTACATACAGAACAATTTTCCCAGATATTCTGAAAACTGCCTTAGATAGAATTTAAAATTTTAATTTTTTATGACAAAAAATCATTAATTTAGACTTGGGTGCATTAATATGCAGGTTATGAGCTAAGGGATACTTATTTATATCATTTAAGTCATGATTTATAACATTCAACTATAACATTCATGATACTATAACATTCATGGTACTATCACATTCATGAAAATAAAAATGTCACCAGCAAAAAATTATATAGCGCAATTATTGACCTGTTTGTATAAGTCAGATGTGTATATTAGAAACAAAAGTGGGTCCAAGACAGAGCCTTGATGTACACCATAATCAATATGGATCCACTAGCACTAACTGAGTGCGGTTACGCAAATAAGTTTATATAAAATTAAGAGACGTATTACCGGATCCATAGTAGGAGCACTTAGCTGCCAGAAGTTTGTGATTTAGCGTGTCGAATGCCTTACTAAAATGCAATAGAATCAGGATAGCAGCTTTTCCATTATCAATGCTCCTGATAACAGTATCAGATAAATTAGCAAGGGCAGATGAAGTGCTAAAACCTTTTTGGAAACCTGACTGATGCATTGAAATTATGCCGTTTAGACAAAGGTACTCATGTTTGAAAATAAGCGGCTCGTTCCAAGATTTTAGAAATAGTGGGAAGACGGCTAACCGGATTGGTAGAACAGCCTTTATTAAATGGCCACCTAGACGGCCAGATTTGGCACCACCGGTTTTTTATGTGTACCAAAATCAACCCGCCACAATAATTGAGGAATTTCAATAAAGAATTGTACATACATGCCGTAATATTGCTAGCGAAACAATTTCCAACTTTCATCGTGAATTTGAAAATAGACTGTTTTTTTCCTAGCTAACAATGGAAATCATTTTGAGTATTTACTAAATGAAATAAATGCTTACTAAATTAATTAAAAACCTAAAATAATTCAAAATAAACGTGCCACCTTCTTTTCAAATATGTTTTCAATTAGTATGCACCTTATATCGCTGAAATGAATTTTTATTAGCTTTCCTATGATGTATGACTAGTTTTTTTTGAGGCAAGTAGGGTATCCTAGAAACGTTTTCTGATATAACCATTGTTAAATGGTCACACTGTATATAAATGCAGCAAAATGTCCACAAACAATTATTAATTTTTAATACTGATAATTTTTTTAAAGGTTCTGATGTCTGGTGCATTTAATTACACAAGTAGACTTATTTTTGTACTATACTGATTATAAAAATTAGACTGTTAATCACTGGTGAATCTAAAGGTCATGAAAACTTGAATCATTTCGTATTAAAATTATAAATTAACGAGACGATTAGTAGGTCCTATACGGGATAGAGCTGAAAATTTTGTTTTAGGTTCAATAATTTAAATCATGTAGGCTACAAAATTCTTATTCCCAATGTTTTGCTGTAACAGGAGGAACCAAATTGAATAAAAGACCAAGATGATGTTCCAAATAAAAAAGCGTTTGGTCAATTTTAATCGATGGCCCCAAACTTTCATAATAAATTCGAAAACTATTTTTTTTTAAATTAAAGTGAGCAATAAATTGTATTTCAATTTTATCGCTAAAGTAATAAAAACAATTTTAATTTATGTTACTTTCATTTTTGATATGAAACTTTATGAATATTTGTAATGAGTAAAAAATAATTGAAACTTTAAAATGCCATTGTGTAGTAGAAAATGATCAATGAAAAATTTTATCTACAAAACTACGAGTACATTTTTGTACGTCAAACAATAAAAATAATATTTCAATTAATAACATCACTACTAAATCACTATTCGAAATTTTTATTTTTCTCACATAATATATATCTGTTGAAACGAAACTGCTGTTTAAAATATACCTAATAGTCCGTCAGATAGTGACATGTTTAGGTGCCCCATTTTCGCATACAAGCCTCGAAGAGGGTTGAAAAGTACATCGATTTTAAGTAGAATGAAAGGTTTACGAGTGGCTGCTGGGGATAACACATGAAAAATTCGATTTTCCCTAACAAAAACGAAAGGTTACTTGTTGCCCATTTTTCCACACACGCCGTTTTCACTACATGATTAATTAATAGAACTAGGCTAAGGAAAACCAAAGGCTTTAATGTTGCAAGTAGCTAAAGGGTTGAAATAAGGGCGTAAACCTCTAAGGAAAAATCGAGATTTTGCCCGATTTTTCCACAGAAGCCCATCGAATGTATGAAAACGTACGTCGTCTCTAGTCCGAAAAACATGTTTTCTTGAATGACCCAAATGTATAAGTGCATTTCCGGATCGGAAAATTTTTCTGATAAGGAAAATCGAATTTTCCATGTGTTATCCCCAAGAACCACTCCTAAATTTTCTTTTATTCTACTCAACATCGATGTACTTTTCAACCATCTTCGAGGCTTGTATGCGAAAAAGGGGCATCTAAATCGGTCACTATCTGACTGTCTATAACTGCCAACTGAAATATAGGTTAAATACTCCAAACTACGAATATGACAATTGCAGAACGCTGGCAATACAAGGAGTACTCGATTCCTTGAACTTTAGCAGTACTCTTCGTATGAACAAGGAATATTAGGTAGGTATTCTTTGGTACGATTGTTCACTGCGATACTTTTAATTTTACCGCCCTCCAGCTATATAAAAAACTGTTGTTTAGACATTGTTGAGTGTATTTACTCGTTAAATATCTGCAGGGTGATTCATAACTATTGGGACATATAGAGTAAGTGGAGGTTATTTGGACCAAAATATGAGGATAGTACCGGACCAAAATATGAGGATAGGACCGGACCAAACATGACTTAATAAAATGTTGCTGTGGAAATAGTTAAAACTGAAATATTTTTTTTTTTTTTTTTTTTTTGTAATAGATTCACAATGTATTCATAAATCGTTACCAAAATTGGCAAAGAGCCATAACTTTAGATAATGAATTATTATTTTACAGGGAGCGCCGCATATGCGATTCCTTATAATGAAATTGGGTCATATCTTTTTTTGAAGCTACTTTTTAGTATTTTTGATTAGGAAACAGATGTAATAGCTATTTGCGTATTAAGAGCAAAAAGCGATACTTTGGTGCTTGAAACAGCGTCAGAAAGTCTTTCATCAAAATACATTGGAAAAAGTGCAGAAGTTAGAGGACATGCCACGTAGAACATTTACTTTAAGTTTGTAAGTTTTATTAAGTTATTTTGTTTATTATTTGAAGTAACAATTTTGTCTACTGTTACTTATTTGAACGCACTATTTAATTGCGTTTTCTTCGAAAAGGGTTGAAATTGTTAAGTTTAAACAAGTATAAGAAGTTTACATGAAAATGATGTTTATATATTATTTTCTAATCAAAATTAGTTATAAGTTTCGTCAAAACAAAAGGTATGACCCAATTTGGTTAATAGAAATCAATAGAATTTTGATATCAATTTATGAATATGTTGTAAAATTATTAACAAAACCGAAAAAAATATTTCAACTTTAACACCATGTATCTTTTTCACAGCAACTTTTTATCAAAGCATGTGTGGTCCAATACTCATATTTTAGCCCAAATAATCTGCGCACTCTGTCCCAATAGTTATGCCCTTATGACTCACCTTGTATAATAATTTTGAAATATTTTCTGTTGACGGGTAACAACTCGAAACGATCTGTAAAGGTGGGTTTTCACGAGACGATTTTAGTTGATCAACAAAAGTTGAAAAAAATTTGTGAGAACCTGTCTTTGAATAGAGTTGACCAACAAAAGTGTGTCCCAGTCAAACTTTTATCGTTTAAGTGATGCGACGTCATGAATTGTCAACAGTCAACTTTTGTCGGATGCGTAATATATATAGATAAATAAAGTGGTGTAGTACGTTTGATGGAGGTTGGAACTGGCTCACCCATGATCAATGAATTGAGTCAGAAACTTGCCAGACAGATCTTCCTTTTCAGACAACTAAGGTATGCTTATGGCAGCAGAATTTTACTTATAGCATATTTTGGTCTAATTCATTGCCACTTATCGTATGGTATTATACTTTGGAGCAAGTCCTGTCATGGGGGTGTGTTTAAACTTTAATCTTGGTAAGATTACTTGACGCATCACTGTATATTGTTTTTTTATGCGATCCTGAACTTTTGAGAGCAGTTCCTCGAATTTCTCTTCAAACATTCGTGAATTATTTATTTATCTTTCTTTATCCTTTAGAGTCAGCTCCCTTACCAAGGTTTCTGATGCGTCTATTCTATTTCTTCTCAGAATCCACTGACTTACCCAAAAACAACGTTTTTTACTACTTTTGTTCATATTAACATATATTTTCAGTTCTCTTTTAACAAAAGTAAAACAATCTGTACACATTCACGCACAACAGCATTCGATGCCATTTTATATTGAAACTGATAATTCAGTTTATATTGAAATGTGTGTACAACAATTGATTCAAATTATAATCAACTTTTGTTGATCAACTAAAATCGGTCAACTAAACTTGACCCGTGAGAACGCGCCTTAACTTTACAATGTTTAATTTCATACACTTAGTTATTAAAGGTATCAAGTTACGGTATGGACAAATCCTCTTTTACTATTATCTAAAATGTATACTTACCCCATTTTCATTGCCTAGGAACTTGATTGTTGGTTTATGATTGTAGAATTTGTTCTGGAACAAAAAAACTGGTTAAAGTATGCAACAAACAATGTCAATGATTTAAAATCTAGATTATGTACTTCGTAGGTTATTTGTATTCATTTATAAAAATACTATATTGACATTATGTACATTCGTAATTTAATTATTAGTCTAAGACAAAAAATTATAATTCCTAAAAAAATTAATAACCTTACGAAAATAATAATTAATTAGTGAGCAACTCGACTACGTCTCGCCTGGCAAACTTCTCGTAGTCGCCCGAAAAGCTCAACTTTTCGTTATAAACTACTATTACAATAATCACTCTCACCTCCAACTATGACCCTATATACTTGGAAATAGAAACTACACGAATATTTCCAAGAATACAGGGAAAATTTTACGATTACAACACAATAAACTAGATTAACTACATAAAAACAATGGAGGAGAAAATAACAATCAATAACAACATAACGGACGAAAGACAAATTGAAGAAGTGACAAAACTCATAAATGCGATTAAACTAGCCAGAGACAAAACCACAAAAATTATCAATCATAAACAACATACTGAAAACCTACCCCAAGAAATTCTAGAGCTGATTACACTGGTCTACAGTGGTTTTGTTGCCCTAGATATAAGATTGATTTTGGATATATTAATGCTTACAATTCATGAAACTATCAATGATTTCGTAAGATTTACTCTCGTTTTCTTTTAAATCTTTATTTTCATTTTACATTACAAAAATCGGAAAACAAGAAACAAAATAACACATATATTTATAATGTCAGTTTTGTTATGAAAAATTAGGATACATCGAAGTAAATAGAGAGAAAAATGTCGAAAACAAATGTTAAATTTCCATAAAACGCCTTTTATGAGCTTTTCTTTTATAATTTTTCAGGGGAAAATCTCTTTTTAAAGACCAGCAGTAATCTACCATCATGTGACAATCCCATCGACCCTGATACCTTTCCTCCATCACTTTTAGATCCTGGTGGAACCACTCTCCCTGTTACTCACTATAATTTCCTAAATTATCCGGAAATTTCTCCAGATGATTGCGGAGATAGTTTAATTTGATACTCATATTTGCTCCTAGAGTCTAAAGGTTGTCAGCATATTTTGTACAATTTCTTCATAATTTGGTGTTTTATGGTTACCCAGGAAATTTTCAACTACCAACACAAAACTTTTCCAAGCCGTACTTTCCGGACCAGTCATAACTTTAATAAAATCTGTGTTTTTTTATCAATTGCCGTATTTGAGGACCATCAAATATTTCACCTTTCAACTTTTCCATACTAAGCTTCGGAAATTTTCTACAAATGTAATTAAAACAATCTCCTTCCTTGTCCAACGCTTTTACAAATTGCTTTATCATTCCTAATTTAATGTGTAATGGTGGAAGTATGATTTTGTCTCTGCTCACCAACGGCTCCCTTATTACATTGCCTTTACCGAAATTGAAGAATTTCTTACAGGCCAAACATCTTGTTCCCAATGAAGTTACTTTGCTCTATTGTTCCACATACAAATAAAGCAAGGTTATTTCGTGTATCCACTTTGTTGACCAAGTAAAAAATTAACCATTTTCAAATCTACACAGATCGGCCATTGATGCTCCGAGTAATTAATTTTTTCTAAAACTAATTTTACATTTTCATATTCTTCTTTGAGTTTTGTTGAATGAGCAATTGTAATTGATGCAAATTTATTTCCATTGTGCAGTAAGATGCATTTTAAACTTCTTTTACAACTAACAATAAAAAGGCGCCACTCAGTAGGTTTGTATTCTTTTAAACCCATGTCTAAAAGCAGCTTCGCAATATCATTACAGTACACCAGTCCTTCATTTTCACTAAACTCACTTTCTCGCATTCTGTATGTTGTAATTGTTACTGTTGATGCTAATAAATTTTGTTCTTTCATTCTTGAGGCTAACAGTTCTGATCTTTGTTTTGATAAATTGAGATCACGTATTAAATCATTGAGAGTTAATTTTGAGAAAATAACTTTGGTGTAGATGTTTCACCCTCCCATTCACTTCCACTGATAGACTGTCCCGATTTCTGTGAATTTGGCAACATCATTGTTTCTGAGGGAATACGAACTACTTTTGAAATGTAAATAGACCGAGGGAGATTTTCACTGTGTAGAACAGGACATTTTGTAGACTGTAAGTCTGGATATCTCCGCGTTTGATTTCGATTAAATCCTTTACCATTTATTACGCAAAAATAACAATCATCGAAATGATTCTTAGGCTTTATCCAGATCATAGGAATACCAAAGTCTAATCCAGAACGTTCTCCTTTTTTCCACAACCGTAAAGATTCAACACAGATCTTAAAATTTTTATGAGGAACCCATGATTTATCTAGTTCGTCCATTTTAAAACCGAAATATTCAGCATAAGTCTCATTGACAAAGTCTTTGATATTTCTTTTTTGTTTTAAAGGACAAGACCAATATATTAGAGTGGACATTCAGTAATTGAAACAAAATAATAACACATGACACCTTATCCAGATTCACGTGTAAGTACTTCAATTATTGAAGCCTAATCATGACTGGGAAAATAAATTTTATTATTAACAAGCCGATAATTGTTCAAAATTTAAGATATGTAAAAATCATAAAAAAAAACAAGACCACATTCAGTACTTTCATGAATATATTCGTAATTTGGGCACTTGAAAACATAAAAATTTGCAAAGATATCCAGGGAAACAATTTTTTTTTGTAGAGCTGTGTTAATAATATAAACTACATAAGACGACGATAAGAAGACAGAGACAAGTCGCCAACAGGGTTAGACTGCAAGATATCGAGCAGACACTTAATAAAATTATAGTAGAATATCGTAACAAAAAATGGCGGACTACCCTGGAGGAGGTTAACGTACATGACAATTCATAGTGGAAAGTTGTGAGACGTTTAAAAAACCGTACTCGCAGCTTCCCACACTGAAATACAACGACTTGACGTGTTCTTTGGACGACCAAAAGGGGAAAGCGTTCGGCGAATTTTTCCAAGATAATTTTGTTAATAATCAAACAAATTCTGAAAGTCTGAAAAATAGAGGATGTATGTTCAGACATCAGAGATTTTACGATTCACAATATACCCACCACGCAATATGTTCACTACCCCTAAATAAGTGGCAGAAGTCATTAAAAAATCACTCAACAAGGGAGCTCCCGGGCCAGATGAAATACACAATAAACTATTGAAAAATATCTCAAGGCATTGGTTCAACTGCACTACATATTTAATGCAATAATTAAGTTAAATCATTACCCTGACTCGTTAAAAATAGTCAATGTGATCTTCATTTACAAAGCGGGGAAAGATAAAACCAAAATTGAAAGCTACCGTCCCATCTCCTTATTAAACGGTATTGCTAAATTATATTTCTGCCTCGTCTCGTAAATAAGATATATTGTCGACCCCTGTATATGCTTCGATTCGTCCACATAGTTGAAAGCTGGAACTATTTGATATATTCCCTTTCCCGCTAATCCCCTTATCCCAAATACTTTGCTTCAGTCTTTGTTTATGTGCCGTAAAGATCACATCTATATTATATTTCGTAGTAAATTCAAAAACAAAGTGTACCGATGACTAAACCTCATAATAAACATTAAAAAAAAAGTCGAAAAAGTAAAGAGATCAGCTAACAATAGAGTTTATCCCATCTTAAACCTTCCGTTTTCTTTTATATAAACCCAGGTATTTGCGTAGCAACAACCTTGTTAGAGTATATACCGGGTCATTCTATATGGGCGGAACACTTGATTTATGGCTTAACTATGACTTGTACGACAATTTGACTTAGATAAAAGTTTTTGTACATTTTATGTACTATTTATTGACGTTTACAGATTTCCCGCATACGTAATGATTTTCAAGATATGACGTCATCGGGCAATATTTTAAATGGATCACCCTGTATTTATATTTTTTTTTCGAGTTCGTATGATCTGTCTGATTTCATCAATGGTACATTAAGTGGGTCCCAGACTTATTTGTGCCCTTCCAAATAACCGATTCAGTTAGAGTTGACATAAAATTATAATAATATTGGGTACATTTAAAATAAACCTAATTTACTAAAGTAAGTATTGATAAAACTCCTAAACATAAAAAATAATATAAATATTTATTGATATAAATTCAATAATCAAAACATTATTGAAAAAAGTTTATCAAAAGAAGTGAAATAAAATGAAAATCGTAAATTTTATTTTATTAAAAAACTAAATCTTTTTTAATTTTTTTTTGAGACTGTTACGCCTCCCTCTCCCGCTAGTGGGTATGCGGAAGGGATTATTTTTAATCATTTTTATACTTATGAGAAAATATAATAATTGCCTCTAGTAGCTCCCTTCTGTAGATGGTCGTTCAGCATATTATCTGTGAAATGTTTCTTTCGAAGCAGGCGTCTAAGTAATAAATAAAAATATTCTCTGCAAATGCGTTGCAATATACAAACAAACTTGGACAAAGAGAAGGATTGCGTGCAGATATATTTTATGAAATGGACGAGTGTCTCAATTTTGTCGAAATAAAAAGCTGAACAATCTGAAGGTTCAATCAAAATTAGGATTAACCAAATTTAAAACAATAAATAAATCAAAAAGCGCCATAATACCTTTTAATATTTTTGTTTTAAATAAGTAAGTAGAGGTAGCGATGTAATTAACATTTCAATCATATAGTGTCTTTTAACCTCGCTAAACATATTGCAAATAACTAAAATATATCAAATAACTAAAATGGTTGTATCTACAGTTTTTTACCTTGAACTTTCAATAATTGTGTCACGATACTGCATTAACAATTATTAATTTTGTAGATGTCCAATTCGTTTTATTTTTAGTTTCTTTTTTATAATTGATTTAAAAATAACTCGTAACCTTTTACATTATGTAATTAAAATCGGAAGATCAACTAAATTTAAATATGGAGTCCCTATTCAAAATTATAAAAAATGTTTAAACAAAAATGAAACAATCAG